CAAAAGAGTAGATGGAAAAGTAGATCGAGGAAGTTCGAAACGCGTGGTCGAAAGTAACCCCCTATACACAACGAGAAGGAAAAGCTTCGACGACAGAAAAGAAGTCCTTCTTCTTCTTCTTATTCTTTACCTCCTTTACCATTTTTTTTTTTTTAAGAAAAATAGTCGCAATACTTTTGGAAAACACTCTTTGCACTACTGTAAATCGATGCCAGGAAAAAGCAAACAACCAAATGCATCCAATTCGACAAATACTTGTCACCAATCAAATGCAATTTCATCAATTTATCGAAATGGAAAAAGGAATTTTTCTTTTTTGTTTTTTTGAGTGGGAAAATTCAATTTTGCTTTGCTTTCTTGGAGGGAGAGAATTGTAAAGAATCATTCTGTCTCACACTGGAACAAAAAAATATCCGTTTTGTTTTTTACAAATCTAAATTTGAATTTGTAAAAATGTTTACTAATTTGAATTAGTGACTGACTTTTTGCTTTTGAATTAGTAATTTTTACTAATTAATAGTAAATTTTACTAATTAATAGTAATTTTTACTAATTAATAGTAATTTTTACTAATTAATAGTAAATTTTACTAATTAATAGTAATTTTTACTAATGAATAGTAATTTCTACTAATTAATAGTAATTTCTACTAATTAAATAAAATTTACTAATAAAAATTAAAATTTACTAATTCAAAAGCAAAAAGTAGTCAGTCACTAATTCAAATTAGTAAACATTTTTACTAATTCGAGAAAACGAGTAGAAAAAATGTTTTTTCGTAAAGGAAATTTTGCAATACGGTCAAATGGGGCAATTACTGTTTACCTAAAACTAAATAAAATTTTGACCAACAATTTAGTTATCAAATTTAGTTCTCAGAGCAAAGAAAAAGAAGAATGAGAACAAAAAATATTTACATTCACGAATAAAATTTCCTCTACAAAAAATAACAATTTAGCACTAATAGAATCAAAAAATTTTAATTTTTTAATTTACAAAAATATTTCTGGAAAATATTTTTATTAAAATTTAAACGTTCCTTATGTTAGAAAGAAATAATTTCGAGTATAAAAAAAATTTTAATCATAAAATTGTATATAGAGAAGTAAATTTTTCCTTGCAAGGGATTAAGAGTGAAAGAGAGAAAGAGAGGGAGGGAGAGGTTTTAATTTCTGCGGATATTAAAAAGTTTTTTTCGCAAACACGCGATTACAAAAGGAGGATTGTTATACGTGAAAGGGATAAACTGTGCTTTTGGTGCGTGTGCCGCGTTTCTTTTTTTCTCTCTCTCTCTCTCTCTCTCTCTCGTTTTTGTTTTTTGTCCCCCGGCTTTTCGGGGTCTGATTGCTACTCCCGGATTGCGACCGCGTAGTCCGTTTCTCGACTGGTTCGCGAACGCCCGACGAATTCCAAATATTTGCCTACGCACGTGCGACGAACCGGTGGCTGCGTTGCACGCGTCGAAAATTCACGCGATTTATTTCATTCCCGTACACGTTGGCTCTACATGAGTATATAATATATATACCTATATATTTTTATATACCTATATATATATATATATATATATATATATTGTCTAGCCTGAGGGTGCGTCCAGTCGGGATTGCAGAAAACCAACCGTGTTTCGTTGCCATGGAATTAACGCAATTTCCGCGTAGCGTCACTGGCTTTTTGCCCACTTTAGAAAGAAATTATAATCTAACTCGCAACTAAATGACGAATTTCAAATTAATAAATAAATATATTAATTAATCTTTTAAACAAAAAAAAAAAAATATTCTTTGAGCATTCCAGGTGAAATTCTCAAACGATTTTTACTACCATTAAAAAAACTATTTCCTTGCAGAAAATTTTAAAACCTAATTTTAAACAACATTTTAAACAACTTTTTAAACAACATTTTAAAGAAATCATTTTTCTTTAATATTAGAAAAAATATCTTCCTGAATAGATATATATATATAATTTTTTTAACCATGAAAAAAACGAGTTTTTCAAAGTGATAAATAATTTCCATTATTTTACGATTGGGAAAAATTTGTTTTGCGGAATGAAATGAAAGGAAGTGGAAGAAAGTGGAAGGAAGACATTTTCTTGAAGAACGATGAAAAAAAGAAGAAGAAGAAGAAGAAGGAGGAGAAGAAAATAAAGGTGAATGAGGTGGAATTCGTTTTTTGGACGCGTTATATTTTTGATGGTAGAATTTGCGCGAGTGTAGGCGAACGTTTAATGCAGTAAATTTTGCGCGAAAAGACCGAAGGACTCTTCCCCAAGTGGTCGTGGGTCTTCCCGCGGAACGAGTCCCGCGAGATCTTTCTTTTTTTTTTCTTTTTTTTCTCCTTTCAACTTCCTTTTCTCCTTTACCAGTCCCTTCCTTCACTCACCACTTTCCTGTTCCTTCATTTCCCTTCCGATTCTTCTTTCTCCACTTGTCCTTCTCTTATTTCCTGACATCATTTTCATTCTCTCTTTCTTGGTTTTTTTTTCTCTCTCTCTCACTCACTGACGCTAAACTACCACCACGCCCGTACTTTATTCCCTAAAGCTACGTCCGTTTTCTACATTTTTTTTCTTCCACTCTTTTTCTCATGAATAATTACTTTGCCCTCGTACACCTCACCACCTTTTACCCGGAACAATTCTGCACTTATACGAGAGAAAGAGCGCAAGAGAGAGAGAGAGAGAGAGAGAGAGAGAGAGAGAGAGAGAGAGAGAGTGCTTTACCTGCCCGAAACTTTCCTTCTCAATGACTACAATTTTAACAATATTTCACGTTTTCTACTTTTTTCCGCTCTTAAAATGACAGATTTCGCTTTATACGGTTTATACTAATTTTCTTTTTAAAAAATCAGATGGACAGTCGAAACAAAAATTAGTCCAAGTCACAAATTTTCTGTTTTTTTGAAGTAAAAAATTAAAAAACGTTAGTGGTCAAACAAACACAAAAAAAAACCAAATGGAAAAAATAGAAGCAAAAGCAGTGGGTCAAAAATAAAGCAAAACAAAATTTCATATGTCCGTTGAATTTTTGCAAAAAACATGCATTCAGAGAAATGTTTTCTTTGAGTCAAATAAAATTTATTTGAGTCCAATAAAATTTATTTGAGTCAAATAAAATTGATTTAAGTTAAATAAAAGCTATATTTGTCTCAGGAGGAAAAGTAATCTATTTATTTGCTTCTAAAGCAAATTTTCATTGCTGAAAATTTTGTTTTGTGTAAATAAAATTTCTTTTATAAATACAAATATTTATGGACTAAATAAAATTTATTTTTTGACTAAATAAAATATCTTTAGACTGAATAAAATTTAGTTCAAAGTAAAGTTAATGAAATAGTTAAATTAATTAAATGAATTAATTCACATTAATTCAAACGAAATAAGTATTACTTAACTGAATAGAATTTTTATTGAAACCAAATTAAATTTTTTATCTAAATTAGAAAGAATTTTTATTTACTAAATAGAATTTTTATTTTTTACATAAAATTTTTATCTCCATTTCTAAAAACTTTTATTTACTCTTTAAATTTGAATTAGTAAAAATGGTTACTAATTTGAAATAATGACTGACTTTTTGCTTTTGAATTAGTAAATTTATTAGTAAAATTTACTGATTCAAAAGCAAAAAAAATTATTAGTAAATTTTACTAAAAAATTAGTAGAAATTACAATTTATTAGTCAAATTTACTAATAAATAGTTATTCTACTAATTTATTAGTAGAATTTACTAATTCAAAAGTAAAAAGTGAGTCACTAGTTTATTAGTAAATTTTATTAATAAATTAATAGAAATTACTATTTATTAGTAAAATTTACTAATTCAAAAGCAAATAGTCTGTCACTACTTCAAATTAGAAAAAATTTCCACAAATTTAAATTCAGAGAGAACTAAATAAAATTTTATTTGAAGTAAATCATATTTTTATTTAAACCAAAAAAGATTTTTATCTAAACTATAAAAAAATCTTCATTACCAAATAAATTTGGTATTTAAACTAAATAAAATTTTTATCTCGATTTTCTATAAAACTTCTATTTACTAATTAAAAACTTTTATTTGAACCAAATACAATTTTTACCTTAATTAATTAAAACTGCTGTTCAAAGTAAAAAACCTAGTAAGTCGCATTTGCTTTGGGCAGCAGCCCCTTTATGAACTGAATAAAATTTTCTTTAAAGTAAATAGAATTTTTATTTAATTAAAAAAAAATTTTATTTCATTACAAATTAAAAATTTAATTTAATTAATAAAAAACTCTAATTTACTAAATAAAATTTGAATTATAAATAAAATTTTTATCTCAACTAAATAAAAATCTCATTTACTAAATAAAATTTTTATTCACCCCGAATAAAAGTATTATTCAATCTGAAAAAATTATTTTCAAACTAAAAAAGTTTTTCTTTTGATTAATTAATACTTTTACAAAAAGTATTTAAATTTTGTACTTTAAACAAATAAAATTTCCTCGAAACAAATAAATAACTCAGTTCAGAGACAAATATAAATTTTTTTTTCTACGGACCCATGAAAAAGAAACAGAAACAAACACAAAAATAAATAAAAATAGAAAAAGAAAAAAGAAACAAAATCATCGGTCAAAGTTGAGTCGAAAATTCTAATGAACACCAGAGAAAAGAAAAGAAAAGAAAAGAAAAAGAGTCCGTTAAAAAAAACTGTCATAGAATGAAAAATCAAAGAATGAATGAAAATTATAAATAAAATATTACACGTTTCTTTTTTTAAATTTCTCTAGACTATTCAGTTGAATGAAGAATATTGAAATTAAAACCGGGAAATACTTTTTGAAACGGCGCTCGTGCGTAAGCATTAACAAAAGATTTGTCACTCGCGTCATAATAAAAGGAATAAAAAAAAATGAAAATAAAATAAAACGAATTGATATTCGGCTCAATTTGACCTCGACTCGAACCTCGGCCCGATGAATATTAACTCGCGCGTTCAAAATCTCCACAGGAGAGATCGACTTACTGTTAGCCGCCTTGAACCGGTGTCCTGCATTTCCCAGACTCGCTCGACCATAAAGAGACTCTCGCTTACCTGTAAAAAAAAAGAAACAAACATTAGATATATATTTACAAGAAGTTGAATCAGTCAAAAAAAAAAAAAAAGATAAATCTTATACAACTGTGTCTAAATATTTTGGTGTGCACGTCAAACTCACTTGGGATTTTTTTTTTATTTTTTGTATTTGTACTCACTAGTAAAAATGTCTACTAATTTAAATTAGTGATTGACTTTTTGGTTTTAAATTAGTCAAATTTTGGTAATAAATTAGTAGAAATTATTATTTATTAGTCAAATTTTCGTAATAAATTAGAAGAAATTACTATTTATTAGTCAAATTTTAGTAATAAATTAGTAGAAATGACCATTCATTAATAGAATTTGCTAATAAATTAGTAAATTTTGTAAATTATTACCAAAATTTACTAATAAATGAATAGAATAAAACTTACTGGTAAATTAGTAGAAATTACTATTTATTAGTAAAATTTACTAATTCAGAAGCAAAAATTAAGTCACTAATTCAAATTACTAAGAATTTTTGCTAATTTAAATTAAAAAATGCGAAATTATAAATTATTAAAATGCGAATATATATAGAAAACTGTAAATTATTATTAGGTATATAAGAATAAACATAATAACAATAAAAATAATTTTTCGCGATCATTTTCAAATATAAGCAACGTTTGGATATTATAAGTTGAAAGAAACATGCAAATCAGCGTGTGTATAGCAAAACAAGTCGCCCACGTTTTGCTGCTCCAAGTTTTGCTGTATCACGATACCGATTTACAGGTCACATTCCCTTTATCTCCCGTTCCATTGCGATCGCATTGCTCCTGGCATCATCGATCTCCGATCATCGTTTGGATCTTTCGATTTGATAGTACCAGCTATTACCCAATCCAATATAAATGTATATATATATACACAAACACACATTTATATTCTACTATCGTATAGATCCTATTAACAACTATCGAATATACATATAATTGTCGCGAATGATTTAACTATATCGATAATCCAAAGTCATGACTGTAAAATTTATTTTTATTTATTTTTTCATGAGATTTATTATTTTTAAAGAGTTCTAATATTTATTGTTTAAAATAATTATATTTTTACTAGCAAATGTTATTATTATTATTATTTTTATTGTGCAAAACAGAAAATTTTTTATTTTCAAATGTAAATTTTTGAATTATTTCATAATCATAAATTTTTTAAATTCACTTATTATGTACATAATTATTATTGTTTATATTTTTAAAAATTTTAACATTCTTCGGAAGAATTCAATTATTTTCATAAATCATAACAATCTTCGGAAGAATTCAATTATTTTCATTTTCAACAAAATTTTAATAAAATTTCACGAAGAAATTCAATTATTTTCTAAAATTTTTAAAAATCCGTCGAAATAATTCAATTATTTTTTTAAATTGTACAATCTTTGCAAAAATTCAATTATTTTCAATAAAATTTCACGAAAGAATTCAAGTATTTTCTAAAATTTTAATAAATATTTAAAAACTTCAATTATTTTTTTAATAAGCAGTAAAATTCTTTGGAAAAATTCAATTATTTTCGACAAGATTTTGATAAAATTTCAGAAAAAAATTCAATTATTTTCTAAAATTTTAATAAATCCTTCAAAACAATTTAATTATTTTTTAAACTACCTAATGCAATCTTTGCAAAAATTCAATTATTTTTAATAAAATTTCACGAAAGAATTCAACTATTTTCTGAAATTTTAATAAATTATTCAAAACAATTAAATTATTTTTTTTAATAAACAGTAAAATTCTTTGGAAAAATTCAATTAATTTCACAAAAGAATTCAATTATTTTCTAAAGTTTTAATAAATTCTTCGAAACAATTCAATTTATTTCTAAAATTTTAATAAATCCTTTGAAACAATTCAATTATTTTAATAAAATTTAACGACAAAATTCAATTATTTTCAAAAATTTTTATAAATCCTTCGAAATAATTCAATTATTTTTTTAAATAGTTCCATCTTTGCAATGATTCAATTATTTTCAATAAAATTTCACGAAAGAATTTAACTATTTTCTAAAATAAATTTTTGAAAACAATTCAATTATTTTTTTAATAAACAGTAAAATTCTTTGTGAAAATTCAATTATTTTCTAAAATTTAAATCCTTTGAAACAATACAATTATTTTTTTAAATAGTACAATCTTTGCAAAAATTCAATTACTTTTAATAAAATTTCACGAAAGAATTCAAGTATTTTCTAAAATTTTCATAAATTCGTCTAAACAATTAAATTTTTTTTATAATTAGTAAAATTCTTTGCAAAAATTCAATTATTTTTAAAAAATTATTTTCTTAAGTAATAAAATTCTTCTCTGGACATCAATTATTTTTGCAATATAAGTTTAATAAATTTTAATAATCAAATATTTAATTATAATTATCAATGAAATTGATTATATTTAAAAAATTAAAGAAATTTTTTGATAGAATTGAATTATTGTCAAAATCTATTATAGTTATAAATTCTTTGAAAGAATTAAAATTATTTTTGATATTTTAATAAAATTTCTTAAATTAAAATATTTTTTGAAAAATTTTAATGTTCTAAATTAAGAATTCTAAAAAGAAAAAATTTTTCGAAGTAGGTATTTAGTTATTTTCAAAAAGTATTAATAAAATTAAATAATTAAAAGATTAATTTTAATTGTATTAGAAGACAAGAATTGATTTAATTACTTGACAGAAATTATTCATAAAATTAAAAATCATACCCGTGTAATTAATATTTTTTCAAGACAAAAAAATAATGAAAAGTCTCGCAGTCAATTTTCCAATTTCTTTTTCCCTTTCCTTTCACTCATCCAAGATCAAAAATTATTATCCAGCTATAAAAAATTGAATGCAAAAAAAAAATTTTTCGTGTTAGAAAGAGGAAAAAAAAAATAATATCCCCACGTCGTGAAATCGTCTATATTCAGAAGCAAACACGATGCAATAAAATTGTAATTCACTTCATCTAGTTCCACTTGCATTCATCATTTTTCTTCAATCTTAAAAAGTAGAAATGTTTTTTTTTATATACTCCCCCCTCCTCCTCTCTCTTACTCTCTCTCTCCCTCCTATCAATGCTCCTTTACCCCGCTCGAGAGAAACGAACCATTCAAAATGGAATTTCCAGATAATAATCAAGTCGTGAAGAAAATGATGAAAATGAAAGAAAATAAAAAAGAGAGTGAAAATAGAAAAAAAAAGGAGAATGAGAAAGAGGAGGAGGAGGAGGAGAGGAAAGAAAAAAGAAAAATGGACTATAAAAGCTTTTCTGTCGATAAAATTGAGCTTCTTTTCAAAGGGGAGATTTTTTATTCATAAGGTAGCTTTTATTGTCGTCGAATATTAAATTTACGTTCCTCTTGAGGCAATGCACTCGCTTCACAAAACTGCAAGTGCGTCCCTGTGCGTATCACGATTGCTGGTTTCCGGCAACGAAAGACGAAGAGTCTCTCTTTCTCCCTCTCAGTTTATTCCTCTCTCTCTCTTTTCTCCCTTGCGCTCTCTTTCACTCTCTGTTTTTCTCTTTTTTTATCTCTTGCACTTTCTTTCACTCTCTCTGTCTCTCTCTTTCTCTCTTGCACTCTCTTATACTCTCTTTCTTTCTCTTTTTCTCTCTCTCTCTCTCTTTCTCTTTTTCTATTTTTTTCTCTCTCTTTCTTTCCCTTTCTCTTTTTTTCTCTCCCTTACACTCTCATTTGCTTTTTCAGTCCCTCTCTCAATTTTTTTCTCTCTCAAAGAGAGAGAGAGAGAGAGAGAGAGAGAAAAGAGAGCGAAAGAGAGTTAGAGTGAGAAAGAGAGAAAAATTGACTACAAGAGCGAAAGAGAGCGAAAAAGAGTTAGAGAGAGAAAGAAAATACTAAGAGAGCAAAAGAGAACGAAAAAGTGAGAGAGGGAGCGAGAGAGAGAGTGCAGAGACACGATGAGAGTAGAAAACGGAGAAGAAAAAATGAACGATATACCTTGTGGTCGTAACTTAATGTTCCCGAAGAAATGAACGACTTGCGGCATATATCAAAGCGCGGACAGACGCAGATATAAATGATATAAATAAAATCAACTTGAAGTACCCAAGCGATTTATCATTCGACAGTTTCCACTTCTTTTACGCTTTTGGGATCTTCCTGCGCGGTAAATACATTTTTTTTTCGTTCGTTTGTTTGTATATGTGTGTGACTGTCTTTTTTTTTCCCTCTCTCGAGTGTAAATTCATCTCTAACGCCTCTTCTTTCTTGAATCATTTAACTTTTCACTGAGAGGCAACAGAAAAAAAAGTATATATATATAATGTTTAACGGCATTATTATCTTTATTTGACATTTTTATATTCTTTGAAATATAACACAATATATACGTATATATATATGCATTCACTGCGTACGTTCCTGTATTAATGTTGTCGGTCTCGCAAATTAAAAACATTCATAATTAGATGTCTCCCAAGACTAATTAACGGCAATTTAAAACTCACGACTCTGAGAAATTTGAAAAGTCGCATGAATTTAAAAAAAAAAATGCTTTTACACTAAAAAAAAGGTCTAAAACAGTTAAAAGTTTCAAAATGGGAAATTTAAAAATAATAAGAATAAGAAAATTAAAGATAAAAAAAATTAATATTAATAATAATTATAAAATTATATTAATAATTAATATATTATTAATATTAATTCTTTTTTATCTTTAATTTTCTTATTCCTATTATTTTTAAATTTGATATAAATCATTTGTTATTTTCTAATTTCTTAATTAAAAAGTTTTTAAATATAACAAATTATTAATTTGTTAGCTTCCTTAAAAATTAAAAGTTTTGAATAATATTATTCAAAAATGCTAAAAAATAATTAAATTTTGGAAGACTATCAGTTCAAATTTTCCAAATGGTTTTGCATTAAAAGTATTTCGAAATTTTAAATAAATAAAAAACAACAAAGAATTTAAATATTATTTTACAAAAAAGATTGAAATTTAAAA